AACTTTTACAAATTAAACTGTCTTTTTTAAACAAAGGAGTTAATAAATATTATTCTCAACTGGAGAATGCTGTTAGTTATGTTATTAATAATGAAACAGATTCTAAGCGAGCAAGTTATATTAGGCATCAAGTAGCTTTATTAAATAAAACAAACAATACACCATTTTCTTTAGAAGACATTTCTGAAGCATTGCATCTTTATTCAAAATCTCGTTTAGTATATTTTGATCTCGTTGAAAAGCTTGTTTTGCTACAAATTCTACAACAAATTTTCATACAAGCGTGATAGAAGAGATAAATCAACAAATCATAATTGCAGGTGGAAAGCCTCTTGGGTTAATAATGGATAACTGTTGAGTAAACCAAAAAACATTTCAATATTTTAATGCAAAAAAAGTTCCAGCATAATATCTTTTAAATGACACTGTGCATATTTTAAAATGTATTCGAAATAATTGGATCACTGAACAATTACAATGTTTAAAATATAGATTGCTAAATGATAACAATACTGTGCGACTTGCAGAATGGAAATTTATAATTCAACTTCATGCTGCAGATAGTCGAATAGTTAAGTTGTCACCCTTAACACAAAAAGCTGTGTCACCAAAACCGATTGAGCGACAAAATGTTGGATTAGTTCTTAAAGTTTTTTGTGATGAAACAGTTGCAGCATTACATGTATAATTTCCTGAAGCTGAAGATACTGCACTTTTTATTGAAACAGTTGTTAAGTGGTGGCTTATTGTCAACAGTAAAGCAAAAGGTCTAGATATTAGATTAAATGATATTCGAAAAAATCCTATTTCTTCAGTCAATGATTGGCAAATAGATTTCTTAGAGAACTATATTTCGTATTTTGCTGAAAATTTGAAATGTGTAAATTCAAAATTAAGAGATAAAAAGTTAACAATGGATACTGCAAGTGCTTTGCAAAAAACTTTTAATAGATTAGCAAGCTGTGCCAAGTATTTGTTGAATTGCGGTGTATCTTATGTATTGTTAGGACATATAATAAAGCTCTTTATTTGTTTCTGAAGTTTGTTTACAAAAGCAAAGATAAAAAATAATTTTAACCGTAAAAAAGTCGGCCTTCGCTAATTTTACGGAAAATGAGCTGTCGCGGCCTGTTTAAGAAGGCCTTGTGTTAAAGATATTAAAATTATGCATTGACGTTGCTATTAATTTTGAAAAAATTAATAGCAACGTCAAATAATAATTTTATCTGGTATAGCTAAAACAAAATCAAAAAATAATTTTGTCTGGTATAGCTAAAACAAACAAAATGATAGCAAAAAGAAAATTAACAAAACCAAACCAGTCGTTTAATGGAAATATAAAGTTGATCGACCACAAAAAGTGCAACTCCAAACGTTAATAAATTTCACGACAAATAAGAGCGAGATTGATCAATCTTAAAACTTTATCTGCAAGGCAAAAAATGATCAGAAAACCATTATTTGAAGAATAAAATGTTTTAAATGATACCGATATTATTTCTGAGATTATTAGTCGTACTTGTTGCTGTCAAACCTGTAGCAATAAGGATGTAGCCTTAAAAAATGACGTAAAAAAAAAAAAAGTTCTTTTAAACCTCTTAACTTTCTTTTGCACAGTTTGTGAATGGAGTTACTCCACTTACACAAGAAAACCTAGCAAAAACCAATTCCAAGAGCATATGTTATTTACATTAACTCTAGAAATGTAATAAGATTTAGTAGAATAAGCAGGGGTATTGCGAATATCTACTGATGAGCCAAGCAGTTTTTTACTACACATTTGAAAAACTTCGAAAAAATGAAAAAGAAAATTACTACTTAAAATTGCTTAATGCACAACTCAAAATTTAATGCAGAGGTGTCTGAAAAACGTAAACCAAATGCAAATTCACTGCCAAATTTTATATTAACTGACAACAAATTAATGACTCAAATGATATTACATTTAAATTAAACAAGTTTTTCGCAACTATTGAGACAAAATTAAGCAATAGTATTCAATACATCAAAGATAAATCTGATTATTTGAAACATCAATAAACTCTAATCTAATAAATTTGAAATAAATCTAAAATAAATTTGAAGTTGCTTTTGAGTCATTAAAAAGAAATAAAGCCGCTAGGTATGATGAACACATATTGTGATTGATTCTTACGATGTTACAAAAAATATTCTATAAATTCTGCAGGGCATCTACAGTCATCTGTCCTATAACGAGGTATTCCTACAACGCGAATCTCCATATGACGCGTAATGAAAGTTTGAACTTCGTTCCTATAACGCCGTGTAATCTTCGTATAACAACACGATTTTTGTAAGAACTCTCTTAAGGCAGATTTTGGCTAAAGAATTAGAATTCCAATTAGCACAAAATGATCCTTCAATAATACACAATGAAAAATTTAAAAGAGAATTTCAAAATTTCTTCGTTTCATACAAAGAGGTTTTAAAAGAACTACAAAATAAAACTACTTTTGAAAACCAAGAAAAAAATTTTGAAGGTCAAGAGATTATCAGTCAATTAGAGAAAAGAAAAGAAGACGGATTGGACGGCTAATATTTGACAGACGTGGCGAATAAGAACAGAATTTACAATCCATCATTTTAGTTTTTGTTGGAAACAAAAACTAAAATGATGGATTGTAAATTCTAAAAACTAAAATTTTTTTTTTTTTTTAATTTTCTGAAAAATAAATAATTTATCATATGCGATAAAATTAGATTAAATTAAGTTTATTTGGGCACAATTTATTTATTTCTAAAAAAAACTATTTATTTCTATGATTCTATACACGGTACGAATCGATTCAATTTATACCACTTCTATGTTTCTTATAAAACGATAAAAGTTTCCATATAACGTGGTTTAAGTTAAATATTAAAAATTATATATTTTGATAATTTCTGTATTTCTCAACACATGTACTTACCAAATCGAGTTCTTATAACACGGTTTCCATACAATGCGGTACGAATTAATCGCGTTATAGGAGAGTTGACTGTGTTGCACAAGGTTCTTTTCCAGATCAACTAAAAATAGTAAAAATAATTTCAACCTTAAAGATTTAATGCAATAATTTGATATATTTTACGATCCCTTTCGATATATCAAATTATTGCCCTATTTCAATTCTTCCAGTTTTTTCAAAAATTAAAAAAAAAATAATGTATAACGGAATCTACTTTTATTTTATTGAAAATGAACTATACGAAAACCAATTTGGTTTCAGAAAAAATAATTCCGAGAATACCTTTTTTTAATTTAGACTCTTGTTTTACACTATGAGTATTTATTGATTTGTCCCATTTTTTATCGTCAATCAACCCTGTTTAAAAAAAATTAATGTCACATGGTATTAAAGATAAAGCCCTGTTGGTTCAAAAATATCTTACTAACCGTAAACAATTTGTTTACAATAAAGATTCTATATCTTATCTATCAATGAATATAACATGCGCTGTTCCACAAAGGTCCATACTTGGTCCATTTATTTTTATATACATGAATGATCTTCATAAATCATCAAACTTAACAACAATAAATTTTGCAGATGAAAAAAATTTATTTTTGTCTTAAAAAGATATGCTTTTTACTAATATTACAAATAAATAAATAAAAAAAGTTTCTGCTTGGTTTAAACAAAATAGATTGTCTCAATATAGAAAAAACTAAATGGACACTCTTTTATCCACCTTCAAAAAAAACAGAAAACTCGCTATAAAAAAAATAAATATGTATAGTAAACACCAGTTAGCACCAGGCGCGGATACAGGGGGGTTATGTGGGTAATGCATTACCCCCCACCATACTTTCAATTTTTTTTTTTATACTCGAACGAGCGCGTTGTGGTGGTTTCAATCAAAATGTTTTAAAACTTAATCAAATTGACTGCCGTTTTGCACGTGAGCTAAGTTACGGTATTTGTGTGTTGAATCGTATCGTTTTAAAAATGCCTGTATTTAGTATACTATGGAAAACGCAAAAAAGCGTAAGATGACAGACTATTTTTAACAAAATTTTGTTTTTTTTAAAAAAAGGCAACGGTTTTTTTATAAAATGTAAAAAATTTTTTTTCAATTATATTTTATTTGTATGTAAAGTAACTAAATCTAATGTTGTCTAATGTCCAAACAAAATGGGTTTTGTGTGGATATTAGACAATTAACTTTACACTTCGCGCAACTCGTATACTCAATTACACTAATAATTAGTGTGATAAAAAGTGACTAATTCAAAAATAAAAAGTGAACTAAAAATAAAAAGTGACTAATTCACAAATTCGTCTAATCCTGACGTATTCACCGTGTTCTTTTTTGTTTATTTTCTAGTCCTACAACTACAACAGTTGACGACGTCAGTCAAGTGAGTTTGCTCAGTGGTTAACTACTTACTAATTCTGAAGTCGTCACTCCACACCAAGTAAGTTTGCCCAGTGGTGCACTACCTACTAATTCTGCAGTCGTATGCAGACCTATTGCTACGGTCACTCAAATCCCTAAAGTCGAACAGTCAGAATGGGACATTGGGATGATTTTTGAGGGCAGTGAAAATGGATGCTGGACTCGGTCAATGAGCAAACTACACAGATTGACCGACTCAGAAAGGATTTCACTACTGACATCTCATGCAATGCCAACCAGCTCATTTGAATGGTTTTTTCACTAAAAAAGTAAGCAAAAGGTATTTTTATCAATTGGTCATATTTCTGGTGGAAATGGTTGCTTCAAGTACTCGTTCAAGCTGCAAGGTGTGTGTTGTGTACCCTGCTGCCTCTTTGCAGGGGATACTGTTTCAAATGATCGTGGAAAAGCACAAAAAATTGGCAATCTGGTGAACAAAGCATTTACTAACTATAATAAAATTCATTCAAAGTTACACGGTCATGTCATCTGCGAATATCACAAAACGACACAAAAACAAGCTGAACAATTCCTATGCATTTCAAAATCTTCCAAGAACATCATCAAATTAATTGACTCAAATGTAAATGTTCAGGTCTATGAAAACAGAGAACGCCTCAAGCCAATTATTAAAAACGATTCAATTGTGTGGACGCTTAGGTTTACCTTTGCGAGGACACATGGATGATGGTTATCTTAATCCAACTCAAACAGATAAAGCACTAACTTGCCAACAAGGTAATTTTAGAGCGCTTTTGACATTAAGAATCAATCCATTGTGCATTTGCATTCGATATGTTGGCAAAGATGGCGTCGTTAAAGAGGAATTTGTTGGATTTGGGAAAATTGAAGATTTTACAGCCAAAGGCATTTTTGAGGAAATGGTTCAGAGACTCACAACTTTGGGGCTAGACATTAGTTGTTGTGTTGGTCAGGGTTATGATGGAGCATCTACAATGTCTGGTTATGTTAGCGGTGTTCAAGCATTATTCAAAAATATTTGTCCTACAGCCATTTACGTTCACTGTTCTAGTCATTTACTAAATCTTGTGCTGAATCATTCTTCTGCTGTTGTTTGTATAAGGAATATGTTTGACGTTGTCTCAGAAGTAATCAATTTCATTAAAAAGTCTCACAAGCGACGAGCAATATTTTCCTGTACATTAATAGGCTATTGTGAAACTAGATTTATTCAACGTCACGATGCTCTGAAATTTGTTGACCATTTCAATGACATTATTGTTGGTTTAAAAGAAATCCATGAAAACAATGACCAAAAGTTTGATGCAAAGACACAACAACATGCTTATTCATTACTTGTTGCATTGCGTAACCCTTCTTTCTTAGTCAGTCAAGCCTGTGCGAAGAAGTTAATGAGTCTAACTGTATGGCTATCCAAGAAACTGCAAGCAGTGTCTTTGGCATTGTATGATGCTGTAGCTTTGGTGGATGACATTACTACTGAAGTTGGCCGATGGAGAACAGACGAGACAGAGTGGCAAGGCCATGAATTTACTGCATTCAATCAGAATGAACATCTTGCTAAAATGGCCGAATGTGACATTACAAAACCCCATTTAAGTTCCAATAGTGTATGGCGAACAACATTTACAGATTTTCAAGAACTTAATGCTGCTGACTACTTTAAAATAGTTATATGTTTCCCTTACTTGGATAGTGTTTTGTTACAGTTCAGGGAAAAATTTTGTAACCATTCTGTAACTGCACTTCTGTTATCTAAAGTTGCTACAGGATCTGCATCGCCCAAAGATTTAATAGCTATTCATTTGTTTTATAGCAGGTTTCTAAAATGCACAGTAGAAGAACTAGTGAACCAGTTTCACATACTTAAAACCTTTCTCTCATGTTCATGTAACAAAAACAATAGTCTACAAAAGTTGTTTGGTGAAATATCAAAAGAAAGATTTCCTATTATATACATTTTTTCACAAATTTCAATCACTCTTTCTGTAACATCTTGTGAACTAGAACGTTGCTTCAATGCTCTAAAGCTTTTAAAATCAAGAATACGATCTTCTATGGTCGATCATCGCTTAAATGGTCGTCTTGCCCTTATGTTCATTCACCCAGAAATTAATATTGACTCAGACATGGTTATCAATGAATTTGTCTTGAGAACACGCAAATTGGATTTTGTGTTATAATAAAGTGCCCTTTGTTTATGAACCTGCAGTCAACTGGTGTTTATAAGCTTGTTTATGAACTAAATGTAGTCTACTGTATTTATGAACTTGTAGACTGTAGTCAACTGGTGTTAATTAACTTTCAACTGGTGTTAATGAACTTGTAAACTGGTATTTATTAATTTGTAATCAATTAATATTATTAAACCTATTTTATAATAATTTATATGCCTGCCTCACATAAATTTTTGGGAGGGGGATACCCCATCCCAAATCCTCCCCTCAGTAAACCTCCAAGCATTACCCCCCACCGCTGAATCCTGGATCCGCCGCTGGTTAGCACAATTATATTATTAATTTACAAATTTTCATATAATCTACAAAAGTATTATATGGGGGAGCACTCATAGAACAAAGCTAAAATTTATAAACGTTCATTAGAAACACGCAGCTTTCGCAATTAAGTTTTAAAAGTTGTTTTTCTTACACGAAGCAACTAAAGAAATGAATGTTTTAAATGTATAAATGTCTTTAATATTTTATGCTTTATGTTTAAAAAGCAGCGAAGATTTGTTGCTAAATGTATTACATATTCTTTATTGTCTGAACCGACTTTTATTTCATTCAAACAGAAACTTAAACAAATTATAATTTTAATTAAAAATATCTTGTATATTGCTTCGTTTAACAATTTATCTCCGTAAAAGTGTGTTATTGTTTCACTAGAGACGTATTTTTATCAAAAATTGACCATAAATTGTAAGGGCTTCATGATAAGATCCTTACGATCTTCTAAACCTGCCGTTGCTTATGTAAAAAATTATAAAATATATCTGGTTGTTATAATATTTTTAAAAGGCAAAACATATTTTTAAAAAATCTATTCAGGTTGCTACAGAGGCCCACAAATATCTTGATTAAAACATCACTTGGAATCATCGTATCTACTACATAAGCACTAAAATTTTAAAAAAAATTGGATTTTTATATAAATCACGAATCTACCTCAATAAGAAAATTTTAATCAAACTTTATTCAAAACATTATTTTATTGAAATAAGAATTTTAAATATATACGAGCTAAGTATATGTTTTATGCTTTGCATACATGTGGATAAATGACTTGTCCTTATCTGTCTTCAAAGATATTTTTACTCTGAAACTTATCAACAAATACAACTTGAAAAATACTGATTTTTTAAATGAATCTTTGTCAAACGAACTTTAATCAATTTCTTATTGCCCATTACTTTTCGCCTTTTTAAAAGTAAATTAAAAAGCCTATTTTTTTTTTCATTAGATAGCGTATTATGTTATTAATAATAATATGAATCAATAACTTCACCTTTATTTATTTACATTTAATTCTTACTTATTTTGTTGATTTTTATACTTTTTACTTTACATTTTATAATGTTTTGGTACGTATATGCTTACATTTGGTACGTATACATTTGTATAAAGTATTAGTGAGTAGATCTGCGTGATCTCTTTTTTGATTATACAGGGCCCGCCATCTAACTTTTTTTTTTTCAACTAGTGCTTATTTCGTGAATGGTAACATTTAGCTCATGTCTGATTTCACAGATAATTAGTTTTATCCTTCCGCTGAACGAATATGGTTGTGTATACGCTTGAACAACGCTGGGAAATATTGCGACATTACTTTGAAAATCATGGTAATGTTGCAGAATGTGTGCGAAAATTGCGTACGGATTTTAGAAGAAGAGAAGCACAGTCAGCTCTGTATGTTTGTTATCTTGTGAAAAAAGGGAAAGAAACTGGCATCCTCATCGATAAACTAAAGCGTGAAAAGCCAAAAACAGTGCGTACACCCGAGAATATTGCTGGTGTAGCAGAAAGTGTGCATGAAGCACCATCAACATTTCACCGTTGTTCTCAACAATTGAACATTTCGGAGACATCTTTGATACGAATTTTCCATAAAGACCTTGGTATGACGCCATACAAAGTCCAATTGGTTCAGAAGTTGAAGCCAACTGACGATCCAATGCGTTTTCGCTTCGCTGAGTGGGCCTGCGATCGACTTACAGAAGATGCCGATTTTTCCAATAAAAAATCATCTTTTCAGATGAAGCTCATTTTGATCTTGACGGGTATGTAAACAAGCAAAATTGTCGCATTTGGGGCACAGAAAACCCGCACGCATACATTGAAAAGCCGATACACCCAAAACGAGTCACTGTTTGGTGCGGATTTGGGTCCAGAGACATAATTGGGCCATTTTTATTCGAAAATAAGCAAGGAGTGGCCGTTACAGTCAATGGCGATCGCTATCGGGCCATGTTGAACGAATTTTTGTTCACAAAAATTGAAGAGGAGGATATTGGCAACATTTGGTTTCAACAGGACGGCGCTACGTGCCACACAGCCAAAGCTACACTTGATGTTTTGCGCCTTGTTTTTGAAGATCGTATTATCAGCTGCAGAGCTGATGTCGTTTGGCCACCTCGGAGCTGCGATTTGACACCCTTGGACTATTATTTGTAGGGTTCCCTCAAAGATAAGTGTTACGCCGACAAGCCAGAGACAATTGACGCTTTAAAAGACAGTTTTCGTGAAGCCATTGGTGAAATACGGCTACACACAATCGATAATGTGCTTAAAAATTGAACCGATTGTGTAGGCTACTGCATGACCAGCTGAGGCAGCCATTTGAATGAAATTATTTTCCATTATTACCCGGAAGGATTGTACTTTCAAATAAAAAAAGAAATTTGAGTAAATATTCAGTAGTTTTTTTTTATAGCATTTTCAAAAAAAAAAAGTTATTTGGCGGACCCTTTATAATATATACTTTGGAAATTTTTAGAAGTTTAATATTATTGTTGTTACCTTTGTTAAATGCTTGTTTAAACTTATTTAAGGTTCTGAAGAATTCTTTCAGATACCTTGTTTTATATTTGTTACATTGTTTATTAAAAATTTGTGAATTTTTTTTTTTTTTTTAATAATATATAGTTGTAATACAACCAACAAATTAAAAAAAATCAATCGATTGTGACTCCTTATTACTATATGGTATCATTTTTAGCTCCATTAGGTTTAAAAGTGGTAAGTTTGGAGAAGGTGTTTCAACAAAAAAAATTCAAAGTCACTGACAGCCGTGGCGCAGTTGTTAGAGCGCTTTCTTTAAAAGTAAACGTTTTAGGGTTAAATGCGAGCTTCGGACATATTTCGCTTCATCGGTAAGGAAGGAGACTTGAACTTTAAAATTAAAGGCTCTTCGACGATGCTTTGTGACAAGAACGTTAGGACTCGGGGCACCTAAAGCAAAAATATATAAAAAAAAGTTATAAGAATTTTTAAACTTAGTTATAACTAAAAAGCCAGACACATTAGTTTACTTAACTCAAGCAGAACCTTTAGGGTCTACCCTGAGGGGACAAACTCACCTAATTATTGTTGGTTAATGACTAAAGCAAAAAAGAACCAATGAGCCATTAAAAATTTCTTGGTTAGTTTGGGAATAAGGCAAAATACTCCTCTATTTTGAATTATATTATGACTGGTAGAAAGTATTTTAAGGTTTATTAGAAGCTAATTTAATTGAAGAATTAAACCTTCTAATTAATAAGTATAAAGTCCTAGTACCACAAAACCAAAATAAAATTGACTCCTGACTCATATCGATAATTTATCATAAGTTAAGTCATGAGTAATTATTGCTTTTTGTTTGAAAAGTAGTTTATAAACTAAAGTAAATTTACTTTTTTTATTTGGTAATATTTAAGTTTTTTAATAAGAATGGAGTAATTTACGATTTCAAAAGCTTTAAACAAATCAATGAAAAACTCGCATTTAAAACAGTCATGGTTGAATGCATTTTTGTATATTTGTTAAGTTATCAATAATCAATATTTACAAATTTAAAATTCTAAAAAATAAAAATAATTTAGATTATATCGTGAATTTAATAAGAAAGTACTTGTGGTATGTAAAATTCAACTTCTTGTAACTGGTGAGCGATTTTGTAATGATGCAGTATATGGTCACTGCAAACTCTGCGTTCTTCCAGCGTGGTTAAACCTAGTATTTGTAGTGTTTTTTTTGTAATTAAAATGTTTAATCAACGATATAGTCTTTGATGCACGTTTTTGCACACGTTCGAGAAGGACGATTTCCGATTTAATATGTGAAGACCAGGCTTGTACACAAAACTCTAGATGCGGTCAAACGTATAACTGGTACAATTTTTTCCCAAAGCAGGAGGGTACGGCATCGAAATGTCTTCTGAGGTGACCAAGCATTCGATTTCCGGCCAAAGCTGCTTCTTCTACTTGTGCTTTCACTTTGAGGTTGTTGAATATTAGTACCCCAAAGTCTTCACAAATAGTAGTGGTCCAAGTACTGATCCTCGAGGGACTCCACTTGTCACTTTTTTTCACTCGAAAGTTTTATCCCCAATAACTACACGTTGTTTTCTTTCACTTAGCCAAGCAGAGATCCAGTGGAATAGCTGGCCTCTACCTAGTGAACACGGATGTAAAGAAGACCTCTTTTAAACGTCTTATACACGTTTTAAACGTTTTTTGAACGTCTTTTGAACGTTTTGGACGTTCAAAAGACTTCTTTTTTTGGTCCGGTGCCCACTGGGTAATGCCATATACTTGAATCTTGTGAAGGAGTCTTTTGTGTGGTACTGTGTCAAAAACTTTGGCAAAGTCTGTTCACAAGGTGTCCACGGTAAGCTGCCTCCATGAGAATGGCACGGGATTCAATTAGGTTTGTAAGGCAACCTTTGTGATTTACAAATCCATGTTGAGACTTTGAAATTAGACTGTGTAGTGTACAGTGTTTCATAATCCTCTCTTTTCCAGTTCAAAAAGATTGCATGAAAATGAGTGAATGAGATATTCCTTTTGCGCATTACTAATGATTACTAATGTAATGCTTTAATTTTCTAATTTATGAGAAAAGTTTTTTTTATCTTTATTTGTTTTACTATAAGACACGACAAGTTGCAGTTGGAATTAATAAAATAAATGTCGTGTTTGAAG